ATGTGAATGAAAATAAGGGGAAAAAATGAGGCGTTCGAAAATGAAGTGTGAGAATCATATAAAGGTATAGTTTCGTGAACATGAAAATTAACCCTTTTGTTTATTGCTTTACCATATTAATGGGGTTCGGAGTGTGAGCTATCAATTGGGCGGTAAAATTGCGGGCGGACCGAATTAGTTGGTTTGAGAATGGATAATACTTCATTTTCTTATGCTAGACAATAATAATATTCTTGGCAGTAATTTATAATAAACGCATCTTCGCACGGGCAGCCCGTGTGTTGGCCAATTATTTTCGTTTCATGAAAAAAAATTACCAATTAAGTGGCTCTGTCGGCAAAAATGTTTCTGTGTTAACTAACCATGCTATGGAAAAGGTGTTGTTTGGATTTTAGCGCACGAAATTCTTCAATTCTTGTTTGTTTTGCATGACAGCATATGCTGTTTTTTGGAGTGTTTTGTGTAAATATCGTAGTGCTGTTAGCCTTTGTATGTAATCGCTGTGTATAAGCCTTTGTGCTGTGCTGTTCTATACAGAGTTATGTGCTTACATGCGCCTTGCGCACTGAATGTCCTATGTGTTATTCGACCATGTTTTCCCAATTTTTTTTGTTTATTTTGCTTGCTAAATTCTGCAAGCCTAATTTTTGTTCCGTGTTGTAGGGGTTTATTTGCGCAAAATCAGCAAAAATCGTTATTTTTTGGAAGAAAATAACAAAATTTAACATGAAATTAACAAAAAGAAAATAGGAAAATTGTTGTCGACATATGCCAGGAAGTCAAACCCGCCATCAGCTTACATTTTTAGCAACTCTTGGAAGAGGAGCTCTTGAAAGCCTGGATAGTAGATGGTTACTGTTGGCGCATGTTTCCACTCGGGCTGCTTCCGAAAGCTTCCGTCTCTTAAAGGGCGCGAATTACGGAGACCTTTTCTGGCTTTTGACTGAGAGCACATTTAACGAATCAGTCATTGAACGTTTGTTTTTGCCAAAAAATACTCAAATTTTTTAATTAGAACCAAAAAATGGCAATTTTTCGGAGGAACAAAGACTGTTCGAAACTTTTCCGATAGTTCAAGTTTTTTATGAGGGACGGACTTGCTTAAAAATGATTCGTAAATAATAATAACTTTGCCAAACTTCACAATTTTTACCAAGCATGTTGACATTAAGGAGAAATCTAACGAAACAACGACGAATTAAGTAGGTATATGACCAACTGACCACATATAGTTAAGTTTTGAATCATCATATCCTCTTTTTTTTTACATTTTTTTTCATTAAATTATTCACTTCCTTTGCATATTTATATCCTTCTCACGGTGGATTTAACTCACGGCGTCGTCACTTCACTTATTTTAGTTTTAGAAAAATATCTTTAATCATTACTCATTTTGATAAGTATTGTGTGCATGCCTATTGCTGTGTGTTTATTTTGTGCAGTGCTAGGAATACCAAGACCTTCCGGACTATAAATGCAAGTATCTCATGTAAGTGAGATTACTGGTAGCAAAGCTATGCCAGGTCCTTCATTTCTGTGCTGCATACCTTCAGTTAGTACCCACTGCTTGTTTGATGTTATTTGTGCCATCTTTTTTGATGGATATCA